CAAAAGCGGAACATTCGCAAATGCGAGTCCGCAGAAGCGGACTATAAACCGCAGAAGTGGTCTTGAGTGGTTCGCAGAAGCGGATGAGGAGACGCAAAAGCGGACGTTGGGTTTTTAAGTGAAGACCGCATAAGCGGAATTTTGGCCGCAGAAGCGGTCCCGCATAAGCGGAAGCGGGACCGCATAAGCGAAAATCGCTATTGGCAGAAGGGTTTAAAATATTAAATTTCATCCGCGAACAAGAGGTAGTTTTCACCATTTTTAAGCGACTTGGAGAGCTTTGGGCGAGGATTTTCGAGGGTTTTGACTGAGAATCAATTGGAGGTAAGTCTCTTGGCCTAATTATTCGAGTTTGTGGTAGAAATTACATGTAAATTGTGGAAAATTCATCAAAAACGGGTCAAGTTAGGGCTTGGAAAGCTGTGATGTAAAAATGGATTTTGAAAGGGCATTTGAACTCCGATTTTGGTAAAATTGGTATGTGTAGACTCGAGGCGAGACGGGGAATCCAGTGACGTAAATTTTGTAATTTTTCGAGAAGTAGACCCGGGGCTCGGGTTTTGCCAACTTCGTGAATTTTGGTGTTTCTCGAGTCTTTTCGATTGGGTTATGCTTCTTTGGCCTATTGTAATGTATTCGTTGTGGTTTTAATCAGATTCAGCGTGCGAAGAGGTTGATTCGAAAGGCAAAGGCATAGCGAGCTAGACTTGTGGCCGGCTTGAGGTGAGTAATAGATGTAGATGATGACCTGAGGGTTTGAAACCCCGGTATATCACACTGTGACGCTATATTGAGGCAAGACACGTACTCTATGACGAGTGCGGGGTCGATCGTGACTGGGGACTGTGACCTAGTCCGTTCCGATTATGTTCGTACTGCGTTCTTGACTAGAAATTGTTTGCTAATCATCCTACTTGGAGTTTATGAATTGTTTGGGGCTTTGTGCCTATCATGTGCATCCTTCAGGGATCCCTATCACTGATTCCATGATGCTTAGCATATTTCATGATATCAGTCCTGAGTTAGACACTGCCTCGAAATGTTTAATAAATAAATAAAGGTTTAAATACTTAGCTCTATAACTCCTAATAATAGAAACTCAAAATGAACAATTTGACTGTGCCCGAGTGGCTTGCATGCATATAT